AATCCTCCCCCAACCAATCACAGTTGCCATTTCCCTTCCAGGTACCATCATATATTTAGTACGTCAGTAAAAATGCAGCATGAACAGTTTTAGCACCTGGGCAGTAAATAAAATCTGATCTGCTAAAAAGGTTCAGTTAATTGTTTGAACCCAGTTCTGCGAATACAAAATGATATTAGTTTTTACTGAACTTGTTACATAGGAGGCTCTTGGCATGTTGCAGGATTGGCTTTTTGTGAACACACGAATTCCATTTTAAATGTCTAAGTGAGTGTGTCTGCATATGTCTGTGTCACTGTCTGGCTCAGATTTGCAGGCAAATATGAAATCCCTGCACTTGGTGGTTGTCTCCACAGTAGAAATGTTTGTCCATTATCAGTGCTGTCCTCCTGAATGGATATGGTTTGAAATTGCAGAGCAGTCTTCCTTCCTGAGGGGCTAAGCAAACTAACAGCATACTGAAAATTAATGACACACCACAACACTAGAACATTGGAGTACCAAGGTGACATGCTTAAGATAAATTCTGAGAAATTAAGTGTCAAGACCAGGCCCTGGAGCCCAGAAAGGCAACCACTGTGGGGAACAGCCCAAAGTAAACAATGCCTGATAATGTTTCCACAGCAGCCTGGAAGATGACTCGGAGCAGCAATGGGGGAAGCCTCAGCTCTTGCAGAGATTCTTACAGAAGACAAGGAAGGGGTTCCAGAGCATAAGTTTGCACTTACATTGAATTTAGAGTCAACTAGTATTGCCTTTGCAGGTTGTCCCATGTGGTGCATTGAAAACTGTGTTCAGAATGAAGGCTAAGATTTTGTCATGGTTATTTTTAGTAAAAGTCACGGACAGGTCACGGGCAAAAAACAAAAATTCACGGAAGCTGTGACCTGTCCGTGACTTTTGCTGCTGCGGGCCCATGGTTTCCCCCGGGCTGGGAGCTGTGGGGTACCCCCTCTGTCTGCGGCAGCTGGAAGCTGCAGGGGCGCTCCCCTCCACCCATGGCGGTTGGGAGTTGCAGGGTGACCATATTTCCCAAAGAGAAAACGGGACACCCCCAGTTGCTTGCCCAAGGCGCCCACCCCCCACTGCATGAGGCTGTCACCCATCTCTGGAAGGGCCCACTCAGGAGGCTGTCGCCTGTCGCTAGAATCTTGCTACTAACCCATGAGTGATGTTAATCAGCTTCAAACTGTTACTAACATGAACCTTCCCTGTATCTCAGTTTCCATCTCCTTCATTCTACTTTCCTTCCCATATTTCTGTACTAGACTGTTAGGAAAGACTTTTGTTTCTTTCACTATCTAAGCGAGGTCAGAAGCCTCATCTTTTTACATTTGTCCGTATGGGACACTGGCCAGGGTTGGGGTCTCTGAACACTAACCCAATATACACTATTAAAAACTTTCTCAAGCCCTTCAAGGCTTCTGGTCATAACAGGCTGTGGGTGACCTGTCCAGCACCAGTCATGGGCACCTGGAAACCTTGACTACAGGAACAATCAATGCAAGAATGGTTTAAAGTGGAGGCTGCTTTCTGCATTTCCTGATGGAAGAGTCCTGGCCCGTTCTCCACAAGGGAGAGCCAGTCCCGGGTTCACAGAATTTAGGTATTGGTGGGCTTAGGGTCCAGGCTTGGTGGGGCAGGGGAGGCCCCAGCTTTCTTGTCTGCAGCATTAACAGGGGCCTTGACTATTTTTGATCGCAAGGGTGAGGGTGGGGCCGAGGAAGCCCTGGATGACCGGGGAGGGGCTGGAGTGTGAGGCTGTCCCACGCGGCTGTTCGAACGGCCTCTGTCATGGGGATCGCGCGCACGCCCCCCTCCTCGTTCACTTTGCGCAGTCCCTCTAGTTCTAACGAGTCAGCCCCGCCCTGAGGTGATGTCCTCGAGGCGCACGCACAGACCCGCTCCCCGGCGCGAGCCGCGGCCGCCTGGTTGCCGCGGTGTCGTTTAGGCGCATGCGCAGCCCCCGTTTCTGCGGCGTTCTGGCTTGCGGCTTGGGGTACTGATTGGCTGCGGTCTTTCGCCTATAGGGGGCGCGCGCTATCTCCAGGCGCCTCTCCGGGGAGCGTGGGCAGGGGGACCCCCCCCGGGAACACGAACACCCAAGGTCCCCTGGCCCCGCCCGTCACAAGGAGGCTGAGCGAGGTGAGGAACCGTCTTGATTCCCGCGCCCTGGCCAGCTTCCCGCCCTTCCTGGGTACTCACGCGGGGCCCCGCCCTGCCCCTCCCGCTGGGGGACGTGCCTGGCCCGCCCGGTTTTAATGGTGCCATTGACGACAATGGATGTTGCACTTAGCCACCTAAATAGCATGGTGCTAGGTGCTTTAGAAATACAAATAAACCACAGGGTAGATAAATAGATGCGTTACTTAATTTTTAGGATGAATTTTCAATTGTCTATATTGTGTTTCATGAGTAGTGTCCAAAGTAAAAGGTCATCAGTGAGAACAAAGAAATGCCTCGCTCTGTCCTTGACAATATTTAATAGAAAGTAGAATGCACAGGAACTTTACCTCTGTATTGTAAAAACCATTGCTTTATCTAATAGTTTTAAATAGAAGAAAGGAGTGAATGGAAGGGGAATTGTTGTCTGGCGGGCGGGGTGGAGGAGCAATTCCCCAGACATTCAGAGGGACTACAGGATGTCAGTCTTGATTTGCACACAGGAGGCCGTTTGTCAGTAAATTGTTCTATGTGGTTCCGTTGCTGGAAGTAGTCTGTGGTGAATGGTGGTAGTGGAATGTGGGTATGATATTTCCTTAGCTAACTAGGTTTGTGATGTGTGGGTAGACATGGCATGTCAGTCAGTGCTTAAACTAGCATCAAGCTGGCAGTATTTTTCAGTCTGAGGAGTGGCCAGCATTTTGGTATTAAAATCAATATTTTGCTTTTTGAAACTTAACTATATTATGATGTCTACTTATTTTAACCCATTTGGATCACTGTTAAATTTGCCCCCTATTATTGTTTGAGACTTTCACAAGCAAATGCTATTTCATGTCTGCCTTGTCATAGAACTGCATTATCTTAAGAAGAGCCACTAAAAATTGCTTGAGTAACCCATCCCAATTTGGTTTTGTACCCCAGGAACTGAAAATCCAAAGGCAGCAGCTCAACCAACTTAGTTAAAGGAGACTATGCACTAGCTATCATTAGTTTCTAGACTTCACATGTACTAGATGGTGAGGCCATCAGGCGCAGAGCAGGTTTGGCTGTCTTTTTGTCTTACGCCATTGGAAAGTACTATCACTGGTATCTGAGTTATCTGAATTTTGTAGTCTGACATTTATATAGTGGAATTTCATGAAGATGTTGTGTAGGTACTGTGACAGACCTAGACCAGTGGGGTACAGGAGTCTGGTAAAGGGCAAATATACTGGTCACTGGATGAGTAGTTTCTGTTCCCTGAGTGACCAGAGCAGGGGCTGCACTAGCGTAATCAGGAACCTGCTAGAACCAGTTCAGGCAGGCAGGCTAATTAGGACACCTGGAGCCAATTAAGAAGAAGCTGCTAGAATCAATTAAGGCAGGCTAATCAGGGCACCTGAGTTTTAAAAGGAGCTCACTTCAGTTTGTGGTGTGAGCGTGAGGAGCTGGGAGCAAGAGGTACAAGGAGCTGAGAGGGTGTGCGTGTGCTGCTGGAGGACTGAGGAGCACAAGCGTTATCAGACACCAGGAGGAAGGTCCTGTGGTGAGACTAAGGAAGGTGTTTGGAGGAGGCCATGGGGAAGTAGCCCAGGGAGTTGTAGCTGTCATGCAGCTGCTACAGGAGGCACTATAGACAGCTGCAGTCCACAGGGCCCTGGGCTGGAACCTGGAGTAGAGGGTGGGCCTGGGTTCCCCCCAAACCTCCCAATTGACCTGGACTGTGGGTTCTTCCAGAGGGGAAGGTCTCTGGGCTGTTCCTCAACCCACATGGTGAATCTCTGAGGCAAGAAAATTCACCAATAAGTGCAGGACCCACCAAGATAGAAGAGGAACTTTGTCACAGTACAAACACATATCTCTGATGAAAGTGTTAAGGGAAATGCATTTCTTGCCACTGCTGATGGAGCTGTCATAGTGAGTGAACATTCCCTTGTCTTTCATTAAATCAGTATGAGTATAGTCAGCAGATAAGAATTCAATGGGAAAGTGCCATCTTCTTCAGGACCATGAGTTAGTTTTGTGAGTTCTTTTTAATCTTGTGCTAAAATATAGCATGAGTTTACTACTTCTCCAAAACAATAATTCAGAGCACCTTTCAAATATTAATTAACACAGTTCGTAAAGCACTTTGACTTCTTTCAGGCTAAAAGGTTAAGCTGCTGTTTATAATTTAGTCCTTTCTTTTCTACAGATGCTGTCAATATGGTTGCCAGAGGTGATGGTTTGAGTCCACTTTACATTCCGTTTGTAAGTTCTTTATGACATGGAATGTCTCAATTTGTATGTCTGGTATCTAGTAGATTCAGATAAATAAGAGAGCTGGTCAGAAAATGGGAAAATGTAAATATTTTTGTATAATATTTTTAATTGAAGTTTTCTAACTCCAACAAATAGTAATAAAGTTCATAGGAGATACCATAAAAGCACCTCTTGTTTTAGGGGAATTGTGGTTGCTTATACATCCCTCCGTGTTCTGATATGTGAATAAAATACTGCTTAATCCAGCTGTCACTGCACAGGTATCTTTATTATGAAGATGCACTTCACAGTGTAGTACAATCAATCTGCTGAGTCAGAAATACCCATCCATCAAGAGCAGTACATCTTAGAGGGGAGAACAGGAGCACTGAGTATTAATATGAAGAAACTGATGTAGTTCTTTGATAAAGCCTCACTTCCTGGATGGGTTTCCTCTCCCTGCCTTCTCTTTTCACACCAGTGTAAAAGGAGAGTAATACCAAGTCAGGGACTTCTAATTACCACAATAAGCTGAAAAAGAGTACACAGTGAAAACTAGCAAGTTAGAAGCAGGAGACTCTGTTGGAGCAAGAGGGCGGTGTGGTTTTTTTTTTTTTTTTTTTTTAAACAAATTCAAAAACCTAACTGAAGAACATAACTGTCTGGAAAAACATGTAAAAATAGTTTATAAACTTTGAAAAACCACAAATGATACAAAATTAAAATAAGCTTTTGCTGAATTCATCATAAGCTTTGTGGTTTGAAATAGTCTTGTATGCTTTACTTCCTGACTGCATTTTTCAACATCTCTCCTGAGACAGAAAGCTAGTTTTGAATTTGAGTTCTTTCATGATGTGTTGTAGTAACATCTGAAAAACAGGAGTTCATGCTAGTGTAATTTACCAAACCAGAAGATGATTAGTGAATAGTTAGCAGGGACTATCTTATGTACAGCAAGCAGTGCGATAGCCTAGACCAGATATTCTCAAATAGTGTTCCGTGGACAAGCTGGGATCTGTAGAGGCCTTCTTGAGTCCACAGACATAAACATTTTGAGAATCAGGTGTTGGAGGTTGGAAGAGGAAAGAGACCCCTGTGAGGTCTCTCTTTTATCTAGGGTCCTGTGGGGTGATAAAGTTGAAGCACTAGAACAAATGACCTGCTAGGATTTTCCTATCTGTAATATTTCTGAGCAATACAAGTATCCTATCAGGAATTTTAGAATTCTGAAAGTGACAGAGGAAAAAGAGAGGATTTATTTTAGCATTGGAGAGTTGATGTTAGTGTTTGTGCTCACTTCATACCTGAGGGGTGGTGGATCAGTTTTGTATTTAGCTTTAATGTTTCTGTCCTAAAGGAGAATCTCTAGTGTTAATGGGGAAAATATTTCTATTTCCCCTGCATGGTTATTAGGGACAATAACACTTCAAAAATTCTGAGAAGGGAAATATGTGAAACTGTGTAGCTAAACAGGACATCTTCCTCCCCCATTAAATGACACTTAAAGATTAGCAGAGCTTTGGGTGTACATGGGTCTACGCATTTATTCATTTTTTTTTCTTTTTTCCTTTCCTTCTTTTCAAATTCCAACCCCAACACCACCTGAGACAGAAAGAGAAGAGAGAGAGAAAGCGAGAGGTTGGTCACAAAAAAGTGTGATGTTTAAACTTTTAAAAATGAAATGGTTGTCATAAAGTGCATTGTACACTTTCAGATATATGTATGAACAACAATTTTTAAACTTAACATGATTCTTAAACTACTACATCCAGACACTGTTACAAATTAGCCTTGTACTAATTAGGGGTGCACATCAAACCACTGCTGTGGTTCTCCTACACAAACAACTTTCAGTGAATTAAAAAGGAAATGCTCCAGTAGGATCATTCCATTATCCTTACAAATTGTTTAAGCCTGTGAGGGGCAGGAGAGCCTTCAATGCCTTTTAACTTGAATGGGAGTCCAAAAAAGGCACTTTGCAGGAATATGATTTAAATGCAGTGATTTAAAAAAAAAAAAAATCTTACTGATTGACCCATAAACTCTGGATTTTCATAAATGGCTCTGCATGGACCAGTTTTCTATCTACCCAGCTATTATTCATCATTATTTTACCGAATGCTAACTAAATATTTTCCTTAAGTCATTTTGATTCATACCTTGAATTGCTGGTGAACTAAGGTTTAGAGTTTTACTGAGGTGCTGGAGGAGGTAAAAGAATTAAAAGACAGTGAGACACACCATAGAAGCTGAACTGCAAAATTAAGACATGACACTAATTAAAGCTTAAAAAGAGGATGGGGGGTGGGTGAGAGAGAGAGAGAGAATTTTACAGTGGTCATTTTTTCCTGCACAATCATGGGGAGATTTAATATGCCCAAGACAGACTCCAAGAAAAAGAGGACTTAAAATTTCAATTTAACAGGGAGTACTCCTCTTATATGCCTCCAAACATTTAACTCGGTCATGTGCATTCATTTTCAAATGTTCTGTCACTAAAATGCTTTCTACTGCAACTACCTGTGAAGAGAGTGACCTTCTCTCTAGTGGCCATATACCACCTTTTTCTTCTCGGGCCATATTATTATTAGTTTTAAAAAGAACACTAATTACTTTCTCCATTGAGATGAACTACAGTTACTCTGGTTGCTATTGTATTCAGATTACCAACTTTTTGTCCTTATATTGGAACATAGTTGCACCATATGTTTTCTAGCTTTTTTGTTTGTACACAACAATTTCGAATGATGCAATATCATTTGGATTGGAAGAAGTCAATCTCCCTGTACAGAAGGCACATCTCCACCAATAGCTATTCTACACGCGTCCTTGTTGGCAGTTTGTTCTGTTTCTGAAGTTTATTTGTATGCAAAGCGTCATGCATGCTCATAGTACTCTACAACTCTTATTATGGTTTTTCTAACAATATTTAGCCTAAAATGTTCCCTTTTGCAGTGTAAGCATTTGTCTGACTTCAGCTAGTAGTGAAAATAAGTGATCAATATCCTCTTTTATAATTGCTTGTAAAGTAAGACCTTATATTTACATATTTTTGACAGCTATTGTATCTCATCACTTTTGAGTCTCAGGAATTTCAGTTTTGAAATGTAGAATATTGTCTATAGCAGCGGTTCTCAAACTGTGGGTCGTGACCCCGTTTTAATGGGGTTGCTAGGGCTGATGTTAGACTTGCTGGGGCCCGGGGCCGAAGCCCGAGCCCCACCGCCTGGGGCCAAAGCCCAAGGGCGTCAGCGCTGGGCGGTGGAGCTCAGGCTTCGGCTTCAGCCCTGGGCTTCAGCTTTGGTCCCCTGCCCTGGGTGGTGGGGCTCAGGCTTCAGCTTTGGTGCCCCCCCGCAGGGCTCGGGCGGGCTCAGGTTTTGAACCCCCTTCCTGGGGTTATCTAGTTATTTTTGTTGTCAGAAGCTGGTCGCAGTGCAATGAAGTTTGAGAAGCCCTGGTCTATAGGACAGTGCTGTTGTCCACAGCATACTGTTTATTAATTCAACTTATGACACTCATTCCAATGTCCAGGGGCGGCTCCAGGCACCAGCGCAGCAAGCGCGTGCCTGGGGGATGGCCTGCCGGTGGCTGTGAGGACGGCAGTCAGGTTTCGGCGGCAATTTGGTGGCGGGTACACCGAAGTCGCGGGACCGGCAGATCACCTGCAGAAACGCCGCCGAATCCACGTGACCGCCCGCAGGGATGCCGCCGAAGGCCGCCTGACTGCCGTGCTTGGGGCAGCAAAAAACATAGAGCCGCCCCTGCTAATGTCTTCTGCCTTCTTCTGGAATATTAACAACTATGGGAGCTTAATAGCTTCCTGTCTTCTTGTCCTATAGTACCTAACATATAACAAAGTTCTACCACAGAATTCTACCATATTTTCACCTGTTCCTATGGAGACATTCACTTATTCAATGAACTTTAGCTTCTGCCTCCCCAGATATCAACAATTTTTGCTTAAAGGGAAGCTATGATTTTTGGAGAAATTAATTATCCATTCATTTAAAGGAGAATATTGTCTACAGAAATCTGATTACCTCTAACATCCAATCTGCACTCTATTTCAGCTTCACCACATTCATTCACAGCTTTACAGGTGTAAAAGCCTCCATCAAAGGGACTGGGCTTTCGGATCTCCAGGGTCAATACCCCTTGCTTACTGAACATACGATACTTGGCATCTCCAGAGAGATCCACTTTGTTCTTGTACCAGAATATCTTTGGCTGAAGAATATAAAAACAAAAGTTAGGAAGTTGTAGATTTATGGCTGCCTGTGCAACCTTAATAGAGCCCCGTTGGGTGCATTATGATACTATTTTTAATTACATGATTACATACTGTTGTTTTCATGGGACCCCGACTCATTCACTACATAAGATGGACAATGCTCAGAAAATAGATAAAACAGCTATTCAATATTTCTTTTTATCGTCATTCAGTGTGTGGCTCTGTATCTTGTTTACTGCACGCTATCCAAACCCTGCACTGACTACAGAATTATTAATTTCCTCATGGGCTTTTTTTTGGGTGCTCATCCCCATAACATCTGAGTGCTTTACAAACATGAATGGATTTATCCGCACAGCATGCCTGCGAGATTATATGGTGGTACACCTCTACCCCGATATAACGCTGTCCTCGGGAGCCAAAAAATCTTACCGCGTTATAGGTGAAACCGTGTTATATCGAACTTGCTTTGATCCGCCGGAGCACGCAGCCCCGCCCCCCCAGAGCGCTGCTTTACTGTGTTATATCTGAATTCGTGTTATGTCGGGTCGAATTATATCGGGGTAGAGGTGTATTAGTTCCATTTACAGATGGGGAACGGAGTCAGAGATATTTTAGACCAAAATTGTAAGGTCTGCTAATTTTGCTTAACTTGAGATATCTAGGGGCTGGGTTTTTTTTCAGCATAATTAGCACTTCGTATCCTGTTCAAAGCACAACTCCAATTAACTTCAGTTTAAAGAGATCAGCACTTATGCAAATCAGGCCCCTGGTGTCTCAAGTTGGGCATCCAGAAAAGGAGGAACACACAAACTATGAAACTAGTGGGTAACTATGGAGGGTAGATGAAAGAGTAGAATTCTACTCTTTCATCATGGTATTCAGGTATTTTAACTACAAGATCATCCTCCTGAAGTTGCTGCCTCATTCACTATGCACCTTCCAATTTCCTGCAGAAAACAGACTTGTTTACTACAATACCCTGAGCAACATCCATCTTGTGCACTGAATGAGGCAGAGGTCTTGTAGGAAAAAAGTATGTGATCATGTAATTAAAGGCTATAAAAATGTATAAACATAAGAGGGCTGAATTAAGGTTGCATGGTCAGTCTGAGTTCTGGCATTTCCTAGCTTTTGGGTTGAATCTTTACAATCTTTAAACATAGTTTATCTTACGTGTAATTTCCTAGGTTTTTAAAAAAGCAAATGGGGAAAAAAACAAGCTCCATATGGAACCATATTAATCCATATGTGGTTTACCACTAGGATTCCACTTTTAAATCCTCACCACAGATCTCTACCATTTGAGGTATCTCAGTTCCTGGTAGACTGTGGGCCAGTCACTGGGGGGGATGAGATACAGATTTTTATCAGTGAGTTTGCCAGCTGTTTGCTGAGGACAGAGGAATGTTGGGACTTGGGAATCCTGAGTTCAGTTTTGGGTTCTGTAGGGGAGTGTTCTGTGGCTGTTACAGATTCTTTTGTCCCTGTTTCCTTCTACTTGTCTCCCCTGCTTCTGTCCCCCTCTGCTCAAATCTCCCAAGTCTGTCCCTGTCCACTTCTGCTCCTATCCCCCAGCCTGTTCCTCCTCCTTCCACCCTGCATATCACCCCTCTACTTCCTCCTTCTCTTTCATGCTGCCTGGGTGCCAGGAGGGGAAGCATTGTGTGTACAGGAGGGAAAGTCTCTCTGTCAGTTGTGGTGCATAGTATTGATAGCTGCATATATGCAGCTAATCAGGTATGTTTGTGTCTGATATGTTTTCCCCTTCTGATTGCAGTGTGGGACTAAAGAAGGTCTTCTATTTTTTACAACCAAGATGGTGGAATAAAAATTTAAATGAAAATAATGTTTCTTGCACTGTGACCCGTGTTTACCCTCTGTCTCTAAACCTAGTGGAATCTTTAATGCAGCACTAGGATTAAACAGTGAGAACCAAACCTTTGTGGCATCTGTTTTGTTTTTAAAATTAGCAGCCTTGGGCCTCAGTGTCCTCATCTGTACAATTAGAATAATGATACTGATCTCCATTGTAAAGAGCTTTGAGATCTACTGATGAAAGGTATTATCACTATTTTGTTCTTGTATGTCTTTGGCCTTGTCTGCTTGACAAGTCTTGTGCATCCATACTAGTCATGCTGAATCATATTAATGACACCTGCAGTTTTACTGTTCTTGAACAACTTTGTCCACCCTTATATTTTTGTCAATAGCTGTCTTGCTCTTTCTGGAATTCCACCTCATGTCACAGTGCTATCTAGGCATGAATATTGGCTTCTGCCTAGTGGCAGCATGTTCATGGAATGCACTTTATACTATCAAAGATGTCTCGGGTATAGAGTTATCCAAAACGTCAAAGCTCTATCACCAGGAGGTGTTGCCTCTGGAAAAAGATGCAGAACAGCTGTACAGTGTGTATGGAGCCATTTGTATGTGTCGTCTGGCAAGCACACAATTGGCATTGTAGGTGCAGAAAGGTGTCTTAGAGAAGCCACTTCGGAGTGACTGTTTGCACTGTGGGATGACAGGATGAGCAGGGGTTTGCATCAATTTTGCTTACTTGGGAGGGAGAATCATCCAAACTGGGATTCAAATGACTGACTCATTTAACAACCACAAAAAGCATAATCTGAGGTGTTAGTGAAAATCAATGGTAACTGGAACAGTTGTGTATTGGATACAAGATGAGTTTTAGTTGATTGAGGAGGAACAATTATTATTTAACATGGTAAATTTCGTGTGTGTGTGTGTGTGTGTGTCTGTTTTTTTTTTCCCCCCCCCGTTCAGCCTGCTTTCAGAGATTGACTCTAATCTTAGATGGTGGTTGATATTCTTTCTGATGCTTTTTCCTAATATCCATATCAATACGGTACAAAGTATAGTTCACCCTGAATAGAGCTCAGCAAATAATTGAGAGTGAAGAAAGTGTCCCCTGCCTGAGATTTTTTTTTTTTTTTTTTTAAATGCTGTCCCCTTGCGCATACAAATTACAGCAGGGTATTTTACTACTTGATCACACAATATGCATTCAGAAACCCACAAAGTTACATAGGTGCACTGTAGGTAATAGAAAAAGATGCATTTCCTTTGCATTCTATTAAGTGAATAGTATGTTGTGCTGTCCTTTGTGGGCTGAAAGACCCAATTATAATATATACATGGAAGGGGCCAGAATTAACATTGCTATGCCAACTGTAATTTTCAACTTCCTGACTTGGGCATTTAAAAACTTAGGTTTCGTGCTGTATCACTGTATTGCTTTTATTGGTGGTTGGGTTTTTCACAGGAATACTATTTCCTTCTAGGGTGTGGACGGATAGTATGGATTGGGATTGGTGTCCTATAATGTAGATCAGTAATTAGAACAGTGTAATTACATGAAGCTGGCATGGATTTTAGGGTAGTTATAGTAGGCTTTTGACTTGTCACAATTATATAGATTGAAAACTAGTGTAATCTGTACCTTGGGGCTTCCTCTTACAGCACAGCTGAGCGTAGCATTGTATCCAGAGATCACAGAACGGCTTACTAAGGGGTGAGTGAATTTGGGGGCTTCAGAGAAGTCATGCTCTTTGTAACCGGGTGGTTTATAAATGGTGCCTGCAATTCAAACAGAGTAATCTAGTAAGAATTTTGTCTTAAATCTTGCCTAGTCAACACAATCTACTTGTAATTTTATTTTATCTATGCTGTTTTAGGAAAGCAGTAGTGTTAAAACATCAGCGTTGCAAACATTTGTGATGTAATGAGGTATTTTTTTTCCTAAAAGCCCTAGCTCCTGGAGTCCTAGGATTATGTGAGACTCTATTTTCATTTAAAAAATAAGTTTCTAGCCTTCATGGTTGCATGGAAAAGCTTGAAAGCATGAACTCTAAAGATTCAAAACCCAGAAGATAAGAACCCCAAAATTTGTTTTTAATTTAATGACTTCTGGGGGTCTGACTCACTATTCTTGTGGCTGAAAATAAAGAAATATGACAGTCTAATTTATAAAGAGTCTAAAAGATTAGAAGCTGTAAGTGCCCAGTATTAAGTAATGAAAAAGTCTCTGCTCCTATGCCAGTAATTCTGTACTCTCCTGTCTATAATGCATTACTCAACTTGCTAACTGTGGCTTATCCATGAGTCAGTCTTTTGTGACCTTTGTTTTGAAGAATGTGTCTTACCTGTCTTTTGTATGTAGGCAGGAGTTTTAGTTGTTGCAGCAGTTTCACTCAGTCCACACAAATTTTCACTGAAGACACGGAAATAATACTCATTCCCCATAATCAGGTCTGACACTACACAGTTGGTGCGTCGATAATGGTCAAAAACAGTGTACCATTCCTATAATGAGATTGTACATTAGTTTACTTTTTCTAACATCTTGAAAAAGGTTTAAAGGGTCAGAGATGGTGCTAGTTGTGGTATGCTGACCTTCCTTGTCAGTATTAGTGAAGAAGACCACCTACCAAGCAACAATGATTTTGGGAATGGATAACAATTCCTGATAGAGTAAGTGATAGCACACAGATTCCTTTAAGGGAAATTAAAACCTTACCTATTTTCTTACTTTGATCTTCATTCTGGCACAAAATTGTATATGTACTTGCATAAAACAGAAGTTTCTATCCCTTATGCTTATTGCATATAAAACTTTGTAAACTATTGTAGGTCTGTCTTCCTAAGTCTTCAGAGACCGCTTTAGTGCCCATAATCACAGATGAAATCAACATGACTACTCAATTTCAACATGTCTGTTCATAACAAGATCAAAAATCATGTCAATTGACACAAGCCCTGAAAGTGGCTTGGATCCTTAGAATGGGTCCACACATTTCTTTCAGAGGCTAAGGGTGGGTGACTCCTTTTTCTCTCAGCTGACTCCCACAAGACTGATTTCTGGTTCAGCATCCTACTTCCATGCTCTACCTGGCCCTATTCATCCTGCCCAATTTCAGTGACTTTAGAAATTATTGGCAAGCCTCTGTGTCTCTCACCATTGTCTTTTTGTCAGCCTTCTGGATTGTGTACCCTAAGATCTGTGCATTGCCATCATCTTGGGGTGGTTTCCACTCCAGAGCGACATTGAATCCCCACACATCTATGATTTTCACATTCTGAGGTGGACCAGGTTTGTCTACAGAGGAAACAAGTCAGACAAACTCAGTTCTTGTTTCAGGATCTTTGATCTTCAGCATTTCCTTCCAAGCAGGAAAAAAATTGTTACTAAGTTGTGTAATTATCCCACAGTAACACACTTACTTTATGGAAAGTTAAAGTTGAAAATTAAAACATGAAAACAAAAAAAAAAAAAGGTCAGTTAAGGTACCTGCACTATTCTTCATGCTATCCTTCTGCATACTATTTAGAGACAGGCAATCCATTTAACAAAAACAGGAACCACCCAAACCTTAACTTCTCCTTTGAATCAAACAAGAACTTTTTGCAATGTTGGATGGGAGTTAACTCTTTTTGCCAGTCTTTTATTATACACAGTTTTCTCTGACTGAATTAATCAGTTTCTCAGTGAGAGGTTGTGTATGCACTGAGGGCAGTGTATTGAACCACCTAGGCACTGGATCTATGTTTAGCTAGACTGATGAAGGCCAGACACTTAGAAATGCTTGAGCACTTTATTGGAGAGATTGTTGATGTCTCTCCTATGGGAGGGTAAAAGCAACGTTTAAACAAGCTGTAGTCCTGCCCTTGTTGAAGAAACCAGTGTTCTGCTTGAATATTGCCAAGTCTCTCACCTCCTGTCTCTGGGAACATCAGTGAAAAGGCAGTGACAGGCCAACTCTAGCATCCAAAATCCTTAAACTCCTTGGATCCGTAGAATGGGTCCACGCATTTCTTTCAGAGGCTAAGGGTGGGTGACTTCTTTTTCTCTCAGCTGACTCCCACAAGACTGAGTTTTGTCACTGCTCTTTTACACAGTCTATATATCACAATGTTTCACCAGCTTTATATAATGGCTACAGTGTTATCAGTTTGCAGACAGTACTTAGATCTATTTCTTGCCTTCAGAAGTATTCAGTCATATCCATGCTGTCCCAATGTCAGCCAGAGAGTGTGATTTGGATGGCTTTAACTCACTCCAAATAAGATTGAGTTGATGTGGATTGGCAGAGAGAAACATTTTGAGGACCTTTAACCTGTCTCTTGATTGAGGGTGTCTGCCCACGTATTGTTAAACTGGTTCATTCTCTTGGGTCTTATTAGATTCATCACTGCACCAGACTCCCAGCTTTTATCAGTGATAGCAAATACTTTTTCATCCATGGCTGATCAAGAGGATAAGTACTTTAATATGCTTTCTTCACCATGTTTATCTGTGCCTTGTTTATACCTCTAGGCTAGATGAGTGCAATGCACTCTTTAGAGCTAGCCAAGAGGTTTTGACTAATACAAAATGAGGTTCTCCACCTTCTGGCTAGAGGTGGGCTACCATGAGCATGCTACACCTGTGTGTTTCTCTCTTCCATAGTGGACAGTCACTTCTGGGTGAAATTCAAGATGCTGATTTTCTACAAACCCCTTTATGGCCCAGGTTCTTGTTATCTTAGAGAGCCCCATTTCCTCTTTGCCATCTGTATCATTTCAGCTATCTTTCACAAGGATGAAGCTTGCAGGAGCTGGAAGCCAGTAGGGGAGGGCTTTGTCTCTGGAATTTGCTCCTGTTGGAAATACTTCGAAGCCCAAACCTGTCCACTTTTAAAACGTGCGGAATGGCATCAGGCTTTTCCACTATCATGTCCACCCTCAGACCCCCATGATATAATCAGGTGCCTCATGAAGGACTAAAACACAGTCACACCTTAGACTGGATCATCTGTCTAGATGTGGACAAAGGAAATGGAAGGATTGACCTTTATTTTGGGCAGTCCACTATAACCTTCAAATTGATATAAAAACTTAGGTATAATGCAGGAAGAAGGTTTTATAAGTAGTCTGCCCCTGTTCTATGAACTCATAGTCCCAGATAATTTCTGAAGCATCCTCAGTGAAATCCATACCCAACTGAAGAACCAAGAACTGGAAGATCTGGTGAGACTTTGACCTTGTACACTGGCTTCTGCTGTTGACCACACTGGTACCTAAAAGCACCCTTGCATTCATCCCAGCAGATCACTGTTGGTTTCTGATAAGATGGAGCAATAGGAAAGGAAACAAATGACACTGATAGAAAACTGGCAGTTAAACTCCAGCACAAGATTTTTCTCTACTGTAGCTAATATATCATCAACTTTACAAGTAATACCCTGTAAAATTTTCCAGATTGTGAGCCACCTTGTTAACGCAAACTGCTTCCTCATATCCCAGCAACAAGCGCCTTTCAAAGAGCTGTCAACATTATAAGATCAGGACACCAGCAGCTATTCATGAGCCTTAAAACACCTTTTCCCTTCCAATGAATTTAGCTCATTCACATAGCAAGAAACTATAGGACTGCTGGAAGAAATCTGATTCACTACTGACGATTGATCTATGCCCATCATGGGCTTGTTAAAGACATCTGTGGATTCTTACAGAGATTGTCAACTCCACACCACCTTTGATGAGAGAAAGTTACCATCCACCTTAAAGCATACCACAATCTGGTCTATTTATATTTAACTTAGATTTCACAAACTACTGCTTGTTGATTGACCTCTCATTTTTGAGCAAATTAACTTAGAAACTAGCTACAGGCTGCCTCCAAACACACCTATCACCAATATCCTGCCTCCCTCCAACCTGGGTTTAAGGCCAAGTCAGAACCAAGGTAGCATTGAAGGATGATCACCTCCTGCCTGTAAACTGCAGAAAGTTCTTGCTCTTATTTCTGGATCTGTCTGTGGCATTTCTATATAGATCATTCTATTGTCCAGGGTGCTGGAACAGTTTTTATAGTGGGGGTGCTGAGAGCCATTGGATCAAACTGTAAACCCTGTATATAATGGAAACCATTTCAAGCCAGGGGATTGCACCCCTAGTTCCAGCACCTATGCTACTGTCCTGCCTAAGTGATGGCAGGAATCCATTGTAAAGTGCTGAAATGGCTCCATTTCTTCCTTTCAAGACAACAGAGTGTGGTGATGGAAAACTGCTCTTATCTCTGGAGCACTCAGGAAGTCCCATAAAGATTGATTCTCTCCTCCATCCTTCTTAACCTAAGCACAGAGTTGTTAAGGGAAATTATGATACATTGTTTTAAATGCCAGCAATATGCAGACAATCCCCTAATTTTAAGTTTTCATTTTCCTTTTGACACAAATGGAATGATTTTCTATCCCCCTCACTGCCTGGCTGAACAAGAGATGAGGAGAATTCTGTACTACCATGAATAGAAAAGAATCACAAAGCACTGAGTCAAGGGTTATTTATATTTGGAGCTTTCAAATGGATCCAACTGTTATTTATTGGTAACACTTCTACACCCTCAAGAGCAGTGTGAAGTGATGATTTGGAGTGCACATTCCAGACAGAGTAGAAAATACATCTAAATGAATTTAACTAAAAAGGCTCCTGGAATTTGGGGGAAATGATTAGTAAAAGTACAGAACTGTATTTCCATTGTAGCTTCCACGCTCTGTAAAATATAGATACTTCTGCTATCTCACAGGGTATCATGAAAGATTTATTCAGTGTTTGTGAGGTGTTCAGCTACTACAGTGGTTCTGACTTTCATTTTTGTAGCCATCTCAAAAATCAGTTTGAGGGGAGAAGTTGCAACTAGTCATGTAATGGATAAAGATTACAACTCTGTGTAATGAATACAAATACCTAGGGATTTAAAGATTAGGGCAAAAAATTGACAGAGCCAGAATTGAGATGAATTGGGGTTAAGTGAAACAAGACAATACTGTGGAACACTGTTTTGTGTAATTGAAGTCTGTAAGGGATGATATTCTACAGAATAGTGATAAATCCAACCCTTAAACCAACCTAAGTGGATTGCTAGCTATGCTGTGGCTTTCTGTGCCAAAGCATAGTATACCAACTCACTTCACAGGCATACGTGAGCCACCAGGGCTATGCTGAAATAAGGCAAAAACAATTACAGCCAGGTATTTCCAGCTGCTAATCTTTGGAGCTGAGTTGCAGATTAGATGAAGGCATTGGTCTTTCCCTCTTGCTTGTTCTCCATCCTCGCTCTCACACCTGCAGTTCAGAGTAAAAGCCTTCCGCCTCCACATCTATCAGTGACTGCCTTAATTCTTTTTTTCTTCTCTTTCTGAAGTACAGAACATAGAAACAGCGAAAGCAGCAGCACTGCCCATCAGAATGTGGAAATGTCATATTGGATTGGAAGCTTTAAAAACTGCAATCTGCTATACCAAGAAAAATGTCAGCCTGTCATTTCTATATTGAATAACACCTCCGTACTTATTTGAATATAACAATTCTACACCATATGCCTATGTAGCTGCCTGTGTGTAAAACCTCTACAGCAGGGTTTCTCAAACAGGGGTCGCCGCTTGTGTAGGGAAAGCCCCTGGCAGGCCGGGCCGGTTTGTTTACCTGCCCCGTCCGCAGGTCCGTCCGATTGCGGCTCCCACTGGCCACGGATCGCTGCTCTGGGCCAATGGGAGCTGCTGGAAGCGGTGCGGGCCGAGGGACTTACTGGGGCTTTCCCTACACAAGCGGCGACCCCTGTTTTGAGAAACCCTGCTCTACAGCAACCCCACTACTTGTGAATCTACCAGTACCTAACAATATTGGACCAGATGACTGTTATAATTTTTTAGAACACAATGAATAATTTCTAATCTGTATTTACACAAATTAATAAATTCTAAACAATTTCTCTTTTGTTTCTATCTTGACACCAAGGGCTGGTGTTAATAGCAGCAAGTGTGTGTGATGCTGGCAGACCAGGTGCCAGCTCATGCCAAGGACTTTAGGCCTCAACTGAACACTGATGAATGCATAGCTGGAAACCAGTCTGGCTCATCTGTGTGTTAGTATTATTAAAATAGTATTAGATTTATAAAAATGTGTCTAGACTTTATGAAATGGTTGTAGGATGCCCCATGTATTTATCTCACTTAAGATTATATTAAGGTATGCATTGTAAATCTCTAACTATGGCCTGGTCTACGCTACAGAGCTAGGTCGATGCAAAGTTTTGTTGACCTAACTTTGTAAGTGTCTACATTAAATTTCACTCCTGCCGATGTAACTGCCCCACTAGCTGACTTAAGTCCAATTCCGCAAGAGGCATAGAGTCAATGTCGATGTAGTTAGGTCGACGCATTATCACTGTAGACACTGCATTGCTTACATCAACTTTTATTGGCTTTCAGAAACTGTCCCACAGTGCCCCATACTGACAGCACAGTCGGTTATAAGCACTCCTGGTGAGGCTGCTCACTGCCAATATAAGAAGCAAAGTGTAAACACGCACCAGCGATGTAATTACTGCAGCGGCTGTACGCTGATGTAAGTGAGGTCGACTTAATTTTGTAGCTTAGACATGTCCGGTAACTCACCAAATAGGAAAGAAGCATTACATTAATGTAAAGTCCGGATTCCTACCAAAGATGCTAGGTCCTGCACACAAGAACGTCCACTGAAACCAAATGAGCCATTGTGAAACATTAAAGGACAAAGACTTTGTGGATTGCTCCCCCCACGTCCATGAAGAGAAGTGTACAAGGACCTGTCCCATGAACTTGAACTATTGGGGAAGGGAATAAAAATTCCTGACAAGAAGAAACTGGGTCTCTATGCCGCTTGGACTTTGAGAGGGCAAGATTTCTAAACATAAGCTCGGGATCATCAGTGCTTGGCCTGGTTAGCCATAAAGGACTTAAAGAATTTGCTTATGATAGAAGCTTCTACCATCCTTTGAACTTAAGACTGTAACTCATTTGTGTATGTATGTTTACCTGCTTTAACCTTGTTGTTAAATCCTTTGTTAATGTATTATAGGATTGGCTTCAAGTGTTTTCTTGGGTGTAAGATCTAAGGTGCAATTGACCTGGGATAAGTGACTGGTCCTTTGGGACTGGGAGTAACTTGAATATTACTCCCAGTCCCTCTTGCATCTGAAGAAGTGAGGTTCTTACCCACGAAAGCTTATGCTCCCAATACTTCTGTTAGCCTTAAAGGTGCCACAGAACCCTCTGTTGTTTGAATATTATTGTGATTTTTGGTGTAAGGGACCATGTATCACAAAGGCAGGCTTACCTGGCAATATAGACCAAAGTACCCAAGTGGACTCTCTGTGACTCTGTGTTAAGGCTGTTACAGTGCTTGAGGAGTCCATACTTGCAACTTGGTTGCTGAAATCTAAGTATAGATCTCCCAATCAGTTTGGGGTTTGTGCTCTGCTTCTTAACAGTCTGCCTGAAGTTGCTACTCACACTCCCGAGCCGCTTCAAACAGCTTGAGAGTGTATAGTTCTTTTTCTTCTCTTTGGGGATGAAAGGGACTTACTTCAGGACAGTCCTGTTTTTGATTGCCTGCTTCCTCACCCCAGTCCTCAAAAGGTAAGAGCACATGAGGCTATAGGCATTAATCCCTCAGCAAGTAGACATCTGTCAAGGAAGCTTAGCTGATTAACTGATTTAGCAAAGGATCAGTGATTGATATATTGGTTCTTTGACAGCCAGGTTAGGCTCTCACCCTTCCAGCTGACCTATGCGTGCTGTTACATAGCAATTGTAGCACTGCCGTCAAAAAAAAAACAGCCTGCCTGTTTCTCCCACGTTTCTCTCCTGCCAAGAACATACAAATCTGGAGAGCAGAAGGTGCTGTTGACAGAAGTGAAGTAGGGCAGCTCTGATGAATGAGGGGCTGAGTCAGTAATTTAAATGCATGCTTTGGCTGCAGAATGCTCTGCAAGTATCCAAGCCCTTTCAGTTAGTAGTAGGCGATTAAATAAATTTCAGTTAATGTTGTGGCAAAGCTATCTACCTAAGAATTTAGAAAACTTACACCAGTCCTGCAGGCCTGGTACATCTTAGTAAGAGTAATAACATTACTCACACTTTATCAGCCATTAAGTTTCTGTGGGAAATGGTTCTCTGACAACTTATATATATTTTTACATGTAAAGTCATTTTTATGGTATGAGATGTACCAAACATTGAAAGGAAAATACTTAGTATTGTCGTACAGGACCAGAGCATGCCTTAGGTCCTTTGTGTCTAGAACCATTAGGTGCTCACTCTTGCCATCTTTATCCTATATCTATACACAAAATTTTTAAAATTTTCAACAATATGCAATAAGCTCCATATTCTCAATTCTAAACGGTCAGAAATTATATTAAATAATAACATTCAATAAAATTACACATTCCCAGAAAGATATTAACAAATTGGAGGAAATTTAAGGAGGAGAACAAAAATGATCAGGTCTGAAGGAAGTGATTTCTTCTTTCCTCCTAGAAGAGCAAAATGTGTATAATGTGGCTAAGCAACATTTTACTCTTAAAATATTTGCAGATGGTTAATAGCAAAGATAAAATATTATTTTGTATTATTAGTATTAGCATTATTTAGTATGTTAATCTGCACTAGACGGTTGTAAATTCTAGTGTACCATTAGTGTGTTGTGTACTAACTGGACTTGTGGACACTGTTGGCACCCACTAAACATTCCCTAGTGTGTGTGTTAAGGTAGTCCTGTGAAGAACTACACTAACGTGCACTAGGGAGCTTTTCGTATGTGCCAGCAGGGTCCACAAAGGCCAGTAAGTCCATGATCTGCTCCAAAATTTACACCCACGGGTGTGGACTAATGCACCATGTAGACAAGGCCTTAGCTGATCTAATAGGTCTTTCCATCTGTCTGCTATAATTGTATTAGACAAGTATTCTCTGAATTATTTTACAAAGTTAGGATAAATTCACAACCTGAATAAAGTGGAATCCTCCTACTAATGTATTAGCGCCCCTCTCTGACTCTGGGAATAGTAGAGTAATACACATACTGGTCCCATGATTTTTTGCATTTACAACCCCTGGGTGTAGAAGGATCATGTCACCAGCATACTAATTCCTGGATTCATATTTCCTACCTGGCTATAGTAAAATTATGCACAAGCCCACCAGGGCTGGGATCCGTACTTTCTACTTCTGTGTGTAGAAGGATACACATACTAATTCCACTATTTTAAATGTTGAGCTTTAAAGTCACAAGTTTCTTACCCATTATCTGCATGGTAATAGCAACCTTATCATTCATGTTTTCTATCTGAACTTCCACTTCATATGTCCCTGAGTGGTGATGCTCAGCCTTTCGAATGAACAGGATAGTATCTGTGGTGCTGTTCCGAATTCCGACCTCTTTGGCGTCTAGTGTTTGACCATCTTTTGTCCAAGTGACTTTAGGTCTAGGTTTACCCTGCAGGAAGAAAAGAGCAGGTTTATTCTCTGGACAACAACAGATTTGCCTTTTTCAGGGTCTTTTTTGGTCTATAAAAATAGAAGAATTAATTTCAGATGCTGTACTGATAGATGAATGTATGATTCTTTGGCTGCTTCCCTATTTCCTGGGCCCCTCCAGATATTTCTCTTCCATTCTCATGGATCAGTAGCACCATGTTCTGACTGGGCAATGGAGATAAATACCCCCATTTTAACAAAAGTCATTCTGGGAACAAACACTGACAAAAGGCTGAAGTTACCTTCTCCCTTTAGCTAGCTCTCCTAATGAATCTATCTCAATGCCCCTTTTCTTTGGAGGATGAGGAAATTGAGAGCATGTGGAAGATGAACAACAGAAACCTCCATGTGCTTTCTGTTGAGGCTGTTACTCCAGCTACTGTTCCCCGCCGCCAGTCCCTGACTCCCATCTCCAGTTGCTCTCAAGGCCTTCCAGAAGCTCTTGCCCAGAACTGCAGCATCCTTGGATCTAGAATTTTGGTAGTGCAGGACAAATCACATAAACTGTTCGATATACTTCGCTCCAAACAGTCAGGCACAGTGGCTGTGCCCATAAATGAAGACATTCTGAAGCCAATAAAAGATCTATAACTTACACATCCATTAATATCAGCCACTTCCAAGACAGCTGATATTAGCCCCTCAAAAGTGCTTTGGGTGCTTTTTTTTAATCCTACATTGGGGTTCTTATTGTTCCTGCAGCCTAAGAAACATCCAAACAATTTGGCCCTCCAAAGTACATCTCTAGAAATAAAGATTCCAGGTGCCTAGAACTTCTGGGCAGGAACCCATATTTATTAGGCACATTACAATCCACAGTTCTACCAGGTTTGCTGGTTAACTGATTTATTCACCTGGGACAAACTGGTTGCCTCTTCTTGATCAGCTGCTTGAGGACACCAGAAATCAGTCAGAAAAAGACAGTCTCACAAGGACAATTGGTGGCAAAGCACTCTGTCAAGCTGTCTGAAGTGGCTCACGAACATGTGTGCCAACCTCATGGCAGTCTGTCAAGAACCAGGGCACAAACCCCCAACTGGTTGTGTGTTCTATAATTAGATTTCACCAATGAAGTATGAGGTGTGAACTCCTCAAGCACTATACCAGACTTAACATGGAGTGAGACAGTTTAGGCACTGTGGTCTGTCTTGCCACCCAGGCAAGCCTACTTTCTGATAGATGTTCCCTTACACCAAAAATCACATCAATAGTCAGGTTACTTCCAGTCCCAAAGGATCAGTCACTTACCCCAGGTCAATTGTACCTCAGATCTCAAATCAAAGACAATGCTTGTAGCCAATCCTATAATAAACTAACTACAAATTTATTAACTAGGGGAAAAATGAGTTATTTATGAGGTTAAAGCAAGTAAACATACGCATACTAATGAATTACAGTCTTAGGTTTTAAAAGGTATAGAAGTTGCTGTAATATGCAACCTCTAGATGTCTTCTAGGGCTAACCCAAGCTAAACAGCTTGAGGATCACTTGCTTAAGTTTAGAAATATTGCCCTCTCCAAATTCCAAGCAGTATAGTGATGCAGTTCCTTCTGGTCAGGGATATTTATTCCCTTCCCCCAGAGTTCAATGTGTGATGGAATGAGGGTTTGTGCATGTCCCCTCTTCATGGGTGTCGGGGGAACAAAGTCTTTTGTTCCCTGATGTTCCACAATCGTTTCTCTGGTGCCCTGCCCAACAAAAGAAGGCATGTGGAGATGATAACTCTAATGGTAAACTAATATTTCACACGTGGTAATGCTTCTCTCCTGACTGTGGGGGTTTCCAGCTTCATAGCAAACACTTTTATAGGTACAAAGCAAACACTTGTATAGTTAGGGTGACCAGATGTCCTGATTTTATAGGGACAGTCCCGATTTTTGGGTCTTATATAGGCTCCTATTACCCCTCCACCCCCTTTCCAATTTTTCACATTTGCTGTCTGGTCACCCTACGTATATTACCTTATAATGTGGGATACAGATATTATAAGTGATATTAGTGCATGCAGCAACTCACAAGCATTTCATAAAGTCCAAACACTAAACACATTCTTAGAAACTTAACATCTATTCTAAAAATGCTAACAAACTGGTTTCCAGCTATGCATTTGTAAGTGTTCAGTGAGGCTTAAGGGTGTTGGCATGAGCTGGTACCTTGTCTGCCAACATCACATACTCCTTTCAGGCAGCAATGAATGCCTCTGACAAGCTGCCCTCTCATTTGCCATTGCAGTAACTATGGAAAGAATCTCTGAGCTACAGTCCTCCAGACTTCTCAAGATGCTGCAGAAGCACCATCGAGGAGTTGTGCTTTGAAAGTCCTGAGGTCTTTAAATCAAGATGATTCTCTGCTTCCTCTGAGAGACTCAAGAGCATCCTCTAGGTTTTCTTTGCCACTACAAGGAAGTTCTCTTTTAGATACAAGTACCTTCAGGCAAAGGTCTGGCCAGAAATTATACACCTGCTGAGCCACCTGGAAAGTAACCATGCTATTCTAGGAATAGGATCTTTACTCTGTCCTCTGGATCATTAGCTGTTGCCAGCAGTAAGTTTGATGGTCAAGTTGAGAGCCTTGGACTAGACCATTTTACAGATCTCTTCCATTTTCTTCCCCATTTTGCAATGCCTTATTTCTTCTTGCCATGGAATAGAATCACCTCAGACCAGTGGATTCTCAAAGTACAAGATGAGGTTTATTCATCCTATTCCAGTCCATAGCTGCCTCCCTCCCTCTCCATCCCATTTCAGGGACCCTTCTGAGGATAAATTTGAAAGAAAAAGTGGCCTCTTCCCTTCAACTGGGGGCCATAGAAGAAGTTTAAAACAGTTTATATGAAAAGGATTCTATTCCTGTTAGTTTCTCATTCTCAAAAGGAAGGGAGGATTAAGTCTTATCCTGGATTTTAGGCATTTGGTATACTTTTTTACTCATCTTAAGTTCTTACTGTCCATCCTCCTCTACCTAGATCTGCAGGACTGGTTCACGGCTCTCAGTTTTAAGGACACATATTTCCACACTACCATCTATCTGTTTCATAGGAAGTACCTCCGTTTCATAGAATCAACAGTATCAATATTGGATCTTTCCATTTGGTCATATCACAGCTCCAAAGGTCTTCACCAAATGCTCAACAGTAATAACAGTCCATTTCAGAAGAGTGGGAGTCCACATATATCCCTGGTGATTTAAGGCAAATCTTTTCAGGATGCTTCATCAGTTCAGGAAATTGTTCCAGTTTCTGGGTCTCTGAGATTACCAAAATCAACACTCATGCTTACTGAAATATTGGAGTTCAGAGGCACAGCCTTAAATTCATACCTAGCCAGTGGATTAGTCTGAACATCATCTCCAATACTCAAATATGCCCATAACAAGACAGGTAGGGCATGCTAAGGCTCCTGGATCATATGGCTTCATGCATCTATGTGACCTCTCTGCTCCCCCCCCTCTTAGAGTTGGTAGGGCTACTCCCACCTTTTCAAGTTCTCTGTATGTGTATCTATATCTCCTTACTATATGTTCCATTCTATGCATCCGATGAAGTGGGCTGTAGCCCACGAAAGCTTATGCTCAAATAAATTTTAGTCTCTAAGGTGCCACAAGTACTCCTGTTCTTTTTAAAGGGGGACTGTGTTCCACCTTCACAAAGATAACATGGACAGTCAAGTAATTGGTTCATTAAAGTACTTTCATTTTTGTTCCAATGGACAAACCAGAGATGGTATGCAAAGTGTCCCATTTCACTCACTAGTGCCGCAGAGGGAAGGGGTGCCAGTTGCCTTCACCCAAATCTGAGGTGTTTATCCATGATACTTAAGGCACAAAGAATCCTCTCTACACCTAAATGTTCTGGAGCTCAGAGCAATCCAGTTTAACTTGCAAATCTTTTTTTCCTCAGTTGAATTTTATCACTCTCAAGATCTTCACATATAATACCACCGCCATGTATTATGTCAACTGGCAAGGTGGGGACTTATTTAAAGAAACTTACAACTTTAAGGAAAACAATTACCTTTTGGACTGAAACATCTCCTATTTATTATTTACCAAAACATTTAGGGCCAGGTCCTTGTCTGGTTTTTCAACCTGTTTGCAAAATGGAATAGCTCAAAGGGACTAGAGGAGGCAGAAGATGGGTCCCTAATTTGTTTCGGTAAAGAACAGCCATGAGAAATTTTAGCAACTTTTTCTGAAAGTATACCTAGCTCAAAATAGAAACTTACTATGGAAGTGTCCTCTTAAATCTAACCTTGCAATTGCTGTCATTATAGTATGGTTGTGTAGGCACTTTTATTATAACCCCTTATTTAAGATGCTATAGTGACTAATGAAATAGGGCAAATGTTTGCACTGTTGGTTTTCATATCCTGATACTCTTATTTATAGACTGTGAAAAGCATGAACCCATAGAAAGCATGTTCCTAATTCATATCCCAGAGGATTGGATTTCTGTAATGAGCAATATCTAATCTTGGAGGGAACAGTGAGAGGCAGAGTAGGTGAATGGCACACCAGAAGATCCTCAGGGGCTTTACTGGAGGGAGATAGAAAAGTGATTTTTTTTAACAATGTTTTTTAGATACTAGCATTCACAGATATATGATGGGCAGGAAGGCAGCTAAGGAATACCTTGAGTCCCCACTAATAGCACATAATACTCCTTCTAGAACCTGTCTAGTTAATTTTGGAAAGATTACAGTGCTCTATAAGAAAAGACATGGTCTACTAATTACTCGGCTTTTGCCCTTCTCTAGCATTTTTCATCTAAGGATTTCAGATTTCTTTACAAACATTAATTCAGCCTCATAATACCCTTATAAGGTAGCTGAATAGTAGTGCCCCCAATTTTTTTTTTTTTTTTTACAGCGTTCTTGGGCTGGGCTGCCGGCGGCGCGCTGACACGTGCGACTCAGACTCCCTCTCCCAGCGCAGCGGCCGCTCCACTTCTCCTGCCTCCCAGGCTTGCGGCGCCAATCAGCTGTTTGGCGCCGCAAGCCTGGGAGGGGAGGAGAATTAGAGTGGGGGCGCCGTGCTCAGGGAGGAGGCGGAGCAGAGGTGAGCTGGGGTGAGGAGCTGCTGCACGGTTCCCTTGGGGGAGGGAGAGCTGCCGTGGGGGGGGGGGCGCCTCAGGGCGGAGGGGGGGGCGGGGAGCTGCTGCAGGGCTGGGGGGGGCGCAAGGTGGAAGTTTCGCTGAGGGCGCGAAACTTCCTTGCACCGGCCCTGCCCCCATGCATATACACCCCTTTGCATAATCTGGAAACCACAAGCCATAACACATGCATACTATACTTTACATAGATTCCACTCATCTGTATATACAGTACTCCCACTTCCCATCCATCCCCAACATATGCACTTTATAAGTACTACATATACACATTCTCTAACTTACTGAAATGATATTTTGCATATCTCTAACTCCATCCATCTGATAATTTCAAAAAGCGTTACACCCTTAATGAATGAATCTCCACAAACACCCACCCCTGACACTAAAGGAGTTTCATTTTCTAGATGAGGAAAATGAGAAACATCAAATTATTTGCCCAAGGTCACACAGAATGTCAGTGTCAAATCCAGTGTGAATGATGACAATTATTTGTATGAAATAAACTTTTGATATTGAAATTTGTGTGGGTTTTTTCTTTCCTTAAGATGTTTTTGAATACTTATCTTTTTAAATTAAATGTAATGAACATGATTGATTTTTGTTGTCTTTTTCTTTAATATTTTGTCCTAAATGTGAAATGATAAAAATACTATTGTATGTTATTTATTACAACTGGAGCATGTAGTGAAAACTATAGGTAAGGTGGAATAAGCATTTACATTATAACCCCCCATTTTTAGTTGCTTGTCACTTTCCAAAGTTTTCAGATTTGCATTGAGAATTTGATTTTAAATGGTTCATTTGTTTTTCAGTAGGAGGAAAGAGGGAAACAATAATCTTAACCCATTGTTAATACCTCAGCAGCAGGAGGTAGAAATTTGAAGTTTGCCAAGCAAGTCCTTAAGGAAGTGCGATATTTTAATGTAATTTGGCCAGATTATTTATTTATTTATTTATTTCTATTTAAATAATAAAAAAGATGCCTATACAAAGCTCTGGCACATAATTAATACTATCAAAAAGGGTTATGGGGGTTAAAAATCTTACTTTAGACATGTGCCATTTTTTCTGATAAAGAGTGCGGTGCATGTGCATGCGTGTGAAATTTGGATTGTAGTAAAAGCCATCAAACTGCGGACATTAAATAAGACAGCACTGCCTCATTATATAATACCTTTAAATGTGCACTCACAACTTTTTAACTCTATTGCCTGGCATTATAGTACATCTTTAATTGCATGAGCATAAGCTGATATCTTGTCTTATTCATTGTGCAGATTGTACAATGTATCGTGAATGACGCAGGGCAGGAACACTCAGTTTTAAATAACTTATCAGAACAAAAATGAACAGGAGGGACATACATAAAATTGTTTGTCAACAACAAAAAATCCTTTGTGTTAAAATATATTTAAACAATTGAATTTGAACTACCGTATATATCTTAAATACATGAAGCCAGATCTGAATCATTGTTTTGGATCATTGTTATTTTGATTCTCTCCATTAAATCATTGGACCCCTCCTTGCTATTCACTGCTTGCTATCTGATCTGTGAACAGAGGGCCAAATTTTGCTCAGTTACACTGATATAAATTGGGAGTAAATCCATGGACTCCAGTGGATGTACTCCAGACTTACACTATTGTAAACAAACATAAGAACGGCCCTACGGGGTCAGACCAGGGTCCATCTAGCCCAGTATCCTGTCTTCCGACAGTGGCCAGTGCCAGGTGCCCCAGAGGGAATGAACAGAACAGGTAATCATCAACTGATCCATCCCCTGTCGCTCATTCCCAGCTTCTGGCAAACAGAAGCTAGGGACACCATTCCTGCCCATCCTGGCTAATAGCCATTGATGGACCTATCCTCCATGAATTTATCTAGTTCTTTTTTGAATCCTATTACGATCTTGGCCTTCACAACATTCTCCTGCAAGGAGTTCCACAGGCTGACTGTGCGTTGTGTGAAGAAATACTTCCTTTTATTTGTTTAAAACCTGCTGCCTATTAATTTCATTTGGTGACCCCTAGTTCTTGTGTTATGAGAAGTAGTAAACAACACTTCCTTATCTACTTTCTCTATACCAGTCATGATTTTGTAGACCTCAATCATATCTTCCCCTTAGCCGTCTCTTTTCCAAAGTGAGAAGTCCCACTCTTATTCATCTCTCCTCATACGGAAGCCGTTCCATACCCCTAATCATTTTTGTTGCCCTTTTCTGAACCTTTTCCAATTCAAATATATCTTTTTTGAGATGGGGTGACCACATCTGCACACAGTATTCAAGATGTGGGCATACCATGGATTTATACAGAGGTAATATGTCCTATTATCTATCCCTTTCTTAATTATTCCCAGCATTCTGTTTGCTTTGCTGCACATTGGATGTTTTCAGAGAACTATCCACAATGACTCCAAGATCTCTTTCTTGAGTGGTAACAGCTAATTTAGATCCCATCATTTTATATGTATAGTTGGGATTATGCGTTCCAGTGTGCACTACTTTGCATTTATCAACATTAAATTTCATCTGCCATTTTGTTGTCCAATCACCCAGTTTTGAGAGATCCTTTTGTAGCTCTTCGCAGTCTGCCTGGGTCTTAACTATCTTTAGTAAGTTTGTATCATCTGCAAATTTTGCCACCTCACTGTTTACCCCCGTTTCCAGATCATTTATGAATATGTTGAATAAGACTGGTCCCAGAACAGACCCCTGGGGAACACCATTATTTACCTCTCTCCACTCTGAAAACTGACCATTTATACCTACCCTTTCCTATCTTTTAACCATTTACCAATCCATGACCGCACCTTCCCTCTTATCCCGTGGCAGCTTACTTTGCATAAGAGCCTTTGGTGAGGGACCTTGTCAAAGGCTTTCTGAAAATCTAAGTACACTATATCCACTGGATCCCCTTGGTCCATATGCTTGTTGACCCCCTCAAAGAATTCTAGTAGATTGGTGAGGCATGATTTCCCTTTACTAGAACCATGTTGACTCTTCTTCAACAAATTATGTTCATCTATATGTCTAACAATATTGTTCTTTATTATAGTTTCAACTAGTTTGCCCGGTACTGAAGTCAGGCTTACAGGCCTGTAATTGCTGGGATCACCTCTGGAGCCCTTTTTAAAAATTGGCGTCACATTAACTATCATCCAGTCATCTGGTACAGAAGCTGATTTAAATGATAGGTTACAGACTACAGTTAGCAGTTCTGCAATTTCACATTTGAGTTTCTTCAGAACTGTTGGGTGAACAAACTGAATTTGACCTAGTGTGAGGACTGGCCTAACCTGCTGCATATCTCAGCTTTATTTACTGTAAACTATCCAACCATATAAGACTACTATCACATTTGATTCTAGGTTAAAGGTCACATGAGCCCATCATTTTAGGAATCAGTGGCCAGCCAGCAGGGGAGCTTGGGTAAGGAAAAAATAATCTGTTAGATAAGCAACTAAAAAGAACCACGTCAAAACTGAATCAATCACATACCTGGAAGGGAATCACAATATTGATTGTCTCTCCTACTTTCTTCACCAGAGTCTGCCGTAGATAGCGTGGCAGCCAGAATTTGGGACGTTCTGTCGATAACCAAAATATGACATCTGTCTTTATTTGAAATGTTAGGAAAATGAAGGAAAAACACCAAAGGAGACAGAATTTATACCTAACACTGGGAATCAATACAAAGTGCTTGTGAGCATGAGAAAATCAGAGTGAAGGCTACTCATACTATTGGGGAAATTGATAATTTCCTATACATAGTCATCTGTAACAGCAACTCTTGCCCTTGTTTCTGTAGTTCTGCGGGATCAATTGCTAGCAGGACTGGTGCAGTTCCACTGCACGAAGGAAGATTCTGGAGGTTTCTGTATAGTATATGCACCTCTTTGTGGAGCTCAGCTCCACTGGGTACCTATCTACATAGCAACAAGGGGGCAGGGCATGGGCAGGCTTGGCTGAGGGGCTGGGAAACTGCTGCTGCACAGATCCTCCAATCCTCCACCCAACACTACATCAGCCACTGGGTTTGCATCGCTGTTGTGGAGTCGCTCAACACCACCTCTGTGACCAGCGGTGGAAGGAGTTGCACTTCAGTACTCTGCATCAAGAGAGTAATCTGTGGCAGCTTACTTTTCCTTTACAAGTGGGAATCTTATTGCAAAGTGTATTCTGTCTTTTCAAATCCGGGCTCATTTAAGTTTTTCTTGCAGACTCTGTCTTACCTTTTCTCCTTCCCTCATCCATATCAGTTATCTATAGAATGAATTTGTAAGCCTGGATTTGGAGTACTTGTTCTCATATCTGTCTGGTTTTTGGATGCTTTGTAACTCTAGTTCATAACACTAGGTCATTTTATTGTTAGTGGGACTCTGGTAGGCATCTTGTGTGAGTTAAGAGTGAGGAATCTTCAGTTAACAGCTCTTAATATCTTTTGGACTGCAGTCAAATGAATTAGAACCTATTGCTATTG